CGTTAAAACAATGATGACATACAATCGTTAAAAAATCCCACTTTAAAAATGAAAGTTTACAAATCACATGAAAACCCTGCTTTTTTTGCACCAGAATAAAGTTGAGATTTCATTAATGAAGATCTAACAGAGTTATATGTGCCTGTGACTGTTGATCAATTCTACTCATGGAAGAAATTTATGAAAGGGGATTGTGCTTTTTATGTACTTTTTTAACAAGTTGATAACACACAATTTAACGTATCAGTACCGTTGTAATTCTCGAAGTTATATTGAGAACATTACACTGCAATGATAGAAAAGTCAGCTGGTAGTAACAGCCTTCCTACTGTTTACACACGTATTAGCCGACACGTTTCCACACATCAGTGATAATTTTCAAGTTACACGCATCATGATTTTGCACTCTCTTTAACATGCGATTATCTTAATTTCTACAGTTGTATTTTTAACACTTATTCAACTCAGTGCTGAATCAAGTGCATCTCAAATAAATTGTTTTCTAGCCTTGACCTTAAACAATACAACCATCAAATTTAATTTAACTATGAACACATTCTGGAAAGCTGGAATCAGTCAAAAGCCTGATACACAAAACACTTAGAATGACATTGTACAAAGACACAGAACATTTTAGTTAAGAAAACAGATGGAATAATCTTTACAAATTCAAGTAGGAAGATTATAACAAGAAAGTAAATGAATTTGTTAATTTTTCTATTTTCAATTAATTATTGAGTATTCTATCGGGTCTAAGAAAGCAAATTTCTACAATGACAATTTCAGGGTCCGGACTTAACACATTCTACTATCTATATATTCTAGTGATTTAATCATTGTACCAAGACTTAACAGTCTACTATCTATATAAATCTAGTGATTTAATCATTGTACGAAGACTGAAGAACAAAAGGTACATCCGTCAGGACACTCACCATACACTGTGGCTGACATTCCCATTTTGTGGAATGAAAGTTATCTTCTTACTGCACAAGTTACCTCCCTTCCTAAAAGGTATCCTACATTATCATAACGACATTACAGGGTATTTTAATAAAACCTGAAGATTCACCGATGTATATCAAAAATCTTTCAATCAATAATATGAAATTTCTAAAAATATTCCAAGGGCATTAAAAACTCAGTTTCCTTTTCATAACACGGTAGGTTCTTGTGTGATGCAACATCCATGCATTATATCTCTACAAAAGGGAGGCAACTGTAAAGCAGGAAAGGATATCTGTCCTCCACAAATGAAAACAGCATTTCCATTAATTTATATTATAATGGTTATAATATCAACATGAAAAACATGACATTAGCAAAATATAACTACACAATTAGTTTAAAAAGAAAACGATATCATACAAAGTCATTTATGTTTTCAGTCTTCAAAAAGCACAATAGAACTGAAAGTCTCCACAGAAATATACAGTACAAAGATAGAAGACAAAGAAAGTTAGAGTTATCTCCCTTCTTGACAGGCCAGACTAAGAGATAAATGATATAGAAAATATCAATAAGTTGATTTGAAGAGAAAGGACAGAACACATGTTCCAGGGTAATGGTTATACAAGGCACAATATTATACAGTAGGTGTCTCCCTGTGTACCAAGTCAAAGACACAGAAGTTACATAAAATATCTTATAGATCAAATGCACTCACCGAGTGAATTATTTTTTCACAAGCGTGACTTAAAGTAGCGATCATGACACTAACATTTTGGTCAAACAGTTGTTGACCTGTACCACTATTTACTTAACAAAAACATTATCTAATATGTGTGTTTGAAAAGTGCAATAACCAATGAAATCCCGTACATATTTAGGTACAACAGTGCCGTTAGTCGATACACAGGGGGCACCCACCAGGTAAGTTATTAACTAAAGTCTTAGCTTCACCAGTGACAGCAAACAGTAAATGCTCTTAAATTATGATATTAAAATATTTTTATTTTTTTCCATGGAATAATTTTTTATATATGATATGATAGTCGCAATGTTATGTGCATATCTGGATCCGTGCATACAATAATTTTACAAATAATTTTCACCAAATATTTAGCCATGAAGAACAAAGAATTATTTACAATTTTTCAATTAAATTCCATAAATAAATCGGAGCAAGAAAGTCAACAGTAAGTGAAAATTTTCTGTATTTGATCTATAAGCAAATTTTTTAAATATTAAGAAAATACCACCATAATTCAAGGAAATTTACCATACTAGAATAATACAGGATGATACACACTGGTAGTACGATAGTGGCCAGCCTAGTTCCTGAGAACCGTACTGCACTTACAGTAATACACAACACATATCGCGATACGTATTCCTGTGTCCAGCTTCAGAGCGTCGTGTAACGATATAATACCAGTACAGCCCAACATGACATTACACCAATATAATATTGGTGTCGAACCAACACAATACAACATCACAATAACTGAATGTCAGTCTGTATACGGACTATCACGTCACACTTTCTAACTAAATATATACCCTAAGCTCAGAGACAATATGTACATGAAACATTAAAAAAAATAAAAATGTTTTAGATAAATGTAAATATATGATAAATACACTGAAGTTAAAAGTACGTTCTCAAATGAATTCATCAAAGTTTCAATAAATTAATGTTACATATCACTGTCGCCCTTCCAGTCGTGTAAATTGTCATCTATTAATGACGCACTCAGATCTCAAAATGTTCACCCAACCACTTGAACTAGGAACATGAAGTACAGTAAAACATTGTTATACCCAATGTCCAACAGGTCATACTAACGTTGCTTGTGATTTGGATTCTGTAGGTACATGATATTTAATAGGAGAACTTTCCACAACAGAACTTCGCCTTATCGGACTGCATCGCTGTCGGGGTTACAAACGTGGTCATTCATAACCACACAAAAAATTCTAACATACTTGTACGGTTAAAAAAGAGGTTATTTTTAGCAAGAATTTAATTTGCTGAGGTGATGCTCAATTTCTCATTTGATGCCCAGGTGCTATTATAAAAAAGTAAGTAATGTTATCACAAAAATAAAATATCCCCTCTTCTTTCTCCTCCCGCCAATAAAATGTCGACATCTGTCTTTCTACAGTATACAAAACGCCACTTTGTACTGATGAACAGAATGGCTAACACCAAACCTACAAACAACAATTGTGCCGTAACATTACAATCTAACAACTATTGAGCATGTGGGACGAAATTATGCATAAGATTGATATAACCGGTTATATTGAAAATGAAAATCTACGTTAGTAGACATTGGTATAACCAATACGCATGGCCTATGTGACCAAACAAACTCATGTTCCAGAAAAAAGGTCAAATAGCAGTTTTCTGATGTATAGATATGACATGTTTTTCTAATTTTATTTCACAAAAAAATATTATTTAAAAAAGTACTTGGTTAACAAAGGGTGAACATATGGGCATCGACCTTGACCTAAAATATGGGGTCAAAGGTCATCTACAATAAACTGTAAAACACAAGTGTTGGTTTTTATGGGGGAAAAAATCAAGAACATTTGAAACAAAAGGCCCAGGGGCCTTAATAGCTCACCTGGTATTTTATTTTTCAATTTAAAACCTGCTGAGTACCATTCAGGTTTATCAAAGGAGTACAAGTAACAAAGTTGCATCTTCCATTTATAAATATTCAATTCCCTTTGCCCAAAGATTCTCTAAAACAAGTTTGGTTAGGTTAAAATCCCTTCAACGGTACAGAAGGAGAAGGATCTTTAATGTTTTCCTCTATTTCCCCTAATGGGCCCCACTAATCTGCCCCAAAGAAGGGGAATCCACACACCTCAGTTTAAACAAAATTGATTCTTTTCTCCCTAAGCATGCTTCAGACTGCATTTGGTTTAAATCCCTTCACTTGTATAGTAGGAGAAAAAAAATCCTCTATTTCCCCTATTGGGCCCCGCTCCTATGCCGCCAGAAGGCCCACACCCTCCGTTTATACAAACTTGAGTCTCCTTTGTCCAAAGATGCTCTAGGACAAATTTGGTCAAAATCCTTCAATTGGTTGAGGAGAAGATTTTTAAAGATTTACCTATTTTCCCCTATTTGGCCCCGTCCCTCTGCCCCCAGGGGGACCATACCCTCCGTTCATACAAAACTGAGAACCCTTTGGCCAATGATGCTCCAGACCAAATTTGGTCAAAATCCCTTCATCGGTACAAAAGGAGAAGGATATTTGATGTTTTCCTCTATTTCCCCTAATGGGCCCCACCCATCTGCCCTTAGAAGGAGGCCCACACACCTCAGTTTATACAAAATTGATTCTTTTGTCCCTAATCATGCTTCAGACTGCATTTGGTTAAAATCCCTTCACTTGTATAGCAGGAGAAAAAAAATCCTCTATTTCCCCTATTGGGCCCCGCCCCTCCGCCCCCAGAGGGGCCACACCCTCCGTTTATACAAACTTGAGTCTTCTTTGTCCAAAGATGCTCTAGGACAAATTTGGTCAAAATCCTTCAATTGGTTGAGAAGAAGAACATTTTTAAAGATTTACCTTTTTTCCCCTTATTTAGCCCCGCCCCTCTGCCCCGAGGGGGGGCTATACCGTCCGTTTATACAAAACTGAGAACCCTTTGGCCAATGATGCTCCTGACCAAGCTTCAGACTGCATTTGGTTTAAATCCCTTCACTTGTATAGTAGGAGAGAAAAAATCCTCTACTTCCCCTATTTGGCCCCGCCCCTCTGCCCCCAAAGAGGCCACACCCTCCGTTTATACAAACTTGAGTCTCCTTTGTCCAAAGATGCTCTAGGACAAATTTGGTCAAAATCCTTCTATTGGTTGAGAAGAAGAAGATTTTTAAAGATTTACCTATTTTCCCCCTATTTGGCCCCGCCCCTCTGCCCCCAAGGGGGGTTATACCCTCCGTTTATACAAAACTGAGAACCCTTTGGCCAATGATGCTCCTGACCAAATTTGGTCAAAATCCTCTGAGCCATTCAGGACAAGTAGCATTTTAAAGGAAAAAGTTGACGGACGCCGGACGCCGGACGCTGCACGCTGCACCATGGGATAAGCTCACTTGGCCATTCTTCAGTGTTGTACAGAACTTAAAATGAGATGATGAAAAAACCCATTCCTACATGAAATATCAAAATATGTTTTTGAACCTTTGACTATTTTCATGTCTGTTCACTCCAATACAGAATGTACATATCATGTCAAAAAGTGACAGATTCTGATAAAAAATACTCTGTCCTAGAAAAATCTCAGACAGTTATCAACCAAAGATCTATTTTGACAGTACCAAATAGGTAATTTGAATTTTTCAAAAGTCAGTGATGATAAAATGCAACTTTTTTTGAAATCGATTGTGTCATGCTTCAGTCACCAGGATAACAGTAAACTGTCCTTAATTTACACCTGATAGAAATAGTGCCTTAAATTTGGTTGACACATAATGTAACCTGCCTAACCAAACCCAGTCTAATCTGGAAACCTGTATATTCTAGACCTTGAATATTTCTTCCATCATATACAAGTCTATGTCAAGCAACTGGTATAATCTGTTATGTTCCAGAAACTATAGACTCACTGGTACCAGGAGCGTTTAGCTTAAACAGATTTCATTGTAAACTAGAAAGATAAAAACATCTATAATAAAAAAACCAGTAAAAGTCTGAAAATAATTCACTTCTCATTGATTGATCACCTCTGCTAAATTTATACAAAAGTAAGACTAAAACACTAAGAAATGGAAACTACCCTGGTATGTAAGGTTTCTGTCAACATGGATGCCTACTGTACAATCCAGGTTTTCCTTTGCTGGCTACATAGCTGTGGTCTTTTATAGCTGCACAAGTTGAAGATGAGATCAGGAAACCCAACGTGGTATGATAAACACGCTGGTGTGTCTATCATCCCTGCTGTCACCACGCTGGTGTGTCTATCATCCCTGCTGTCACCTCGGTGTGGTGGGTAGATCCTTGTTGATTTGCAGGTTTTGAACGATCTCTTGATTCCACTGTTCAAGGGTAGGTAACTCTTACTTACAACGTCCATTCTCAACACGACTCGGCACCTACATCTATGTACTCCAGCACTCCCAGAATGGTGCAGAATACTACAGTCCCTTAAACTTATAAACTCACAAGGGAGCTAACTCCAGGAATGGTCACTTGTACCAGAAACTCTGTAGACTGCAACACTTGTAAATATGGCAGACTAAAACCCATCATTAGTTTTTTCAGACCACCTTTTTAAAAGCGAGCGAGGCAGGCAGGCATTTGATTTCACTTTCCATTTCTTGAATGCTGAAGGTCCTTTTTTAATTACTTGATTTACTTCCAGTATGGGTTAGGTTATGCATGTCCCAGTATCCTTGGTTGTATTCCCATTAATTAAGAGGTATTGGACTCTGAAAGGATCACTGTATCCACAGATAGCATAAAGCAGCTTTGTTTATGTCAAACTACATCTCTAATTTGATAACAGTGCCAATCCGGTCATGGAAGTTGTCTAAATAATGAAACCAAAAATTTCAAAAAAAAATAATAATAAAATTTGTGAAATTTTGAAACGGCATTAGTGATAAAATTTGGTTAAATGTGTGTAATAGAGCCACATAGAGTGGTGCCTGGAAATCTCCATACTGGTGTTTTACCCCTGATACCTTTACTTTAATCATGAACTCTAAAGGGAGATAGCTGCTGGTTGAGCCTTAGGTCCATTCAGCTCCAGGCTTCTTGCCTACTAACAGATAGGTTTTCATGTCTCCCTTCCCCTTCACTGGTATTGTCCCGCGGTACTCGAAATCGTACACCTCTCCCAGGAGATTGGCTGTGGCTTCTGGGACCTGAATCCTGTCCTTGACTCCAGTGGAGTACATCCGACTGGAAATGTTCACTGTGTCGCCCCAAATGTCATATAAGAGCTTGGTTGTACCGATGACACCCGCGGTCACTTCACCATAGTTATACCCAATGTTCAATTCAAAGGAAAAGTTAAAAATACTCTCGTTGAATCTCTGCACCACTCCCTGCATTTCAACACAAAAGTCCATAAGCTCAAATAGATGAGCATGTGGATGCTTGTTTTTTGCCCGACTCGATTCATTTAGTCCTGAGGCAGCCATAAAGGTACTTGTGATAGTCTTGATTTTTTCTACGTCTTTAAATCGATATTCATCCAGAAGGTCCTCGTAGTCACTGACAAGTTCATTGAGTACTCGTAAGTACTCCTTCCCACCTTGATACGCCTCATCGTAGAATTCGTTGAAGTTGACTAGTGTTGCAAATATCACACCAACATCCTTGTGGTTCTTGGAGTATTTGGTCACGCCCATTTTATTGATCTGTTTTGATACATGCTCTGGTATGATGTTGTGTAACAGCCAATCAGCTTGATCCATGGTCCGCTGCATCTGTTGCTTATTGGCCTTAGCCTGTGCATCTCCGTTAAAGCTCAGCCTGTAATTAATTTCAAACTCGCGGTTGAGGAACCACACAAGAAACAAGAGCAAGACCATGTCGAGAATGATCTCGTACTGCAGGTGGTGGCTCCCGGAGAACAGGTAGTCCAGCTGGGTGGTGTTCTGGGAGATGTTTTTCACGTCATAGTTGGTTAAGTTGGTAGTGACGTTCCCCATGATTGAGACTACTCCCATGTCCGAGCTAAACGTACAGATATTCACACTCAACAGAACGATCAATACGACTCCGGCCAGCGCAGCCAGAATAGACTTGAGCCAGGAACTGAGCATGGTGAAGTTACAATAATGTAGAAGTGCCACCATAATGGAGTAGGTGAAAAACCGGTCCTGCCATAATGCCTGCGTCAGTACTCCACAGGAAAAGTTGGAGTACACTGCGATCACGGGGAGACTCGCTATGATAGCTCCAAGGATATTGCGGAAATACCATCCAGATATGAAAGTTATGCACTTTTCGCATAATTCCATTTTCTGCTTCCTGCATTTAACATCGGTTACTGCATGGATAAGAACCAAAATTTCCAGGATCAAGGCTACCAGGAACAGCAGTATCCATGGCAACTCGCAGTCGAACATGATAAATGCGCAGATTGAGATTAGTGTGAATATGATAAAAGATATGATAATCTCGACCAGAGCGTGATAGCGTGGCGAAGACAGCGTGTTCTCGCTCCGATTCTCCTGTATGAAGTGGTCCCTGTACTCCGTCTCCAGCGTTGAGTTCTGGAAGCTTAGGGTGATCTTGGAGATCGGGGGCTTATAGAAAAACTCCTTGTTCTTCACATCTTCCTTCAAACATTTGAGAAGGTGAAGATCGTTTTTGGCGCTTTCATCGTGATTGTGATGCATAAGTGTCTCATTGATGGGGCTGGTTGCATCTGAAATGATGAGAAAACCTTTTTATTTTCTTCTGACAACGGGAAATTTGATGATGTACAGTTATGTGACAGCTCAGAGATTGTTCAATTAAAGTGAAATTATTTGAGTTAGCCGTTACAATATTGCTGTAGAAATGTCTTATATTATAAGTCTTTTATTTTTCACTGTTCTTGTTAAATTTTGCTTGAATTCGAAAATCCATTAATATAAACTAAGGTAGGATATTATATAAGGTTACTGGAAATGGGTGTCTTTTAGTCCTAAATAGAACAAGGTAGATTTAGCTAGGGTAGAAAACAAGGCTGTCCTTAAGGCCTTTTTTTTTAGCAAAATGTTTTTAAAATTACCATTGAAAGTCACTGAAAGGATGCTCATTTTTCGTATTTACTAAATAATATTCCTAATAACAATGAGTATCAAGGTACACTGCAATATTCTCCAAATATTGTAGTATTTTTCAATATGATATTACTTTCAATACCGACCCCTTATTATCGATATATGTATTTCTGTACTTCTAAAATATGTCATCCATTTATTAACTTGGTCCAAATTTAGCACATATCCTAAAGTCCTATAACCTCTTAGGGAACAGAACAGGTAGCTTATACCCTTAAGGGGATATCAGAGGTAGTATACACCTTACCAAAGTAGTAAAGGTAGTATTCACTCTTAGGGAACAGAACAGGTAGCTTATACCCTTAAGGGGATATCAGAGGTAGTATACACCCTTAAGAAAATAGAACAGGTATGATGCACCCTTAAGAAAATAGAACAGGTATGATGCACCCTTAAGGAAAAAGATAGGTAGGATACACCCTTAAGGAAAAGTACAGGTAACATATACCCTTGAGGAATAGTACTGGTAGCATATACCCTGGAGGAATAGTACAGGAAACATATACCCTTAAGGAAAAGTACTGGTAACATATACCCTTAAGGAAAAGAACAGGTAACATATACCATTGAGGAATAGTACAAGTAGCATATACCCTTCAGGAATTGTACAGGTAAGATATACCCTGGAGGAATAGGACAGGTAACATATACCCTTCAGGAATTGTACAGGTAAGATATACCCTGGAGGAATAGTACAGGAAACATATCCCCTTGAGGATTAGTACACGTAACATATACCCTTCAGGAATTGTACAGGTAGCACATACCCTTGAGGAATGGTACAGGTAGCATATACACTTGAGGAATTGTACTGGTAACATATACCATTGAGGAATAGTACAAGTAGCATATACCCTTCAGGAATTGTACAGGTAAGATATACCCTGGAGGAATAGGACAGGTAACATATACCCTTGTGGAATTGTTTAGGTAACATATACCCTTGACGAATAGTACTGGTAGCATCTTCACTTGAGGAATAGTACCGGTAGCATATACCCTTGACGAATAGTACTGGTAGCATATACCCTTGACGAATAGTACTGGTAGCATATACCCTGGAGGAATAGTACAGGAAACATATCCCCTTAAGGAATAGTACATGTATCATATACCCTGGAGGAATAGTACAGGCAGCATATACCCTTGACGAATAGTACTGGTAGCATATACCCTTTAGGAATAGTACAGGTAACCTATACCCTTGAGGAATAATACAGGTAACATATAACCTTGAGGAATAGTACTGGTAGCATATACCCTTTAGGAATAGTACAGGTAGCATATCCCCTTGAGGAATAGTCCAGGAAACATATCCCCTTAAGGAATAGTACACGTAACATATACCCTTCAGGAATTGTACAGGTAGCACATACCCTTGAGGAATAATACAGGTAACATATATCCTTAAGGAAAAGTACAGGTAACAATTACCCTTGAGGAATAATACAGGTAACATATACTCTTGATGATTAGGACAGGTAACATATACCCTTAAGGAAAAGTACAGGTAACAATTCCCCTTGAGGAATAGTCCAGGTAGCATATACCCCTGAGGAATAGTACAGATAACATATACCCTTGCGGAATAGTACAGGTAACACATACCCTTGAGGAATAGTACAGGTAACATATACTCTTGATGATTAGTACAGGTAACATATACCCTTGAGGATTAGTACACGTAACATATACCCTTGAGGAATTGTACAGGTAGGATACACCCTTAATGAAATAAAACAGGTAGGAAACACCCTTAAGGTAATAGTACAAGTAAGATATACCCTTAAGAGCAAAGTTACATTCTCTATAACCCCTCAACGTCAACTACAGAAAAAAATGGCAAGGTCGATTTATCAGTGACCTTTTTGTTCATGTACTCCAACATTAGCCTTCTCATCAACAACCCCTTCCTTGTCAGGGACTACAGTAGGGACCTTTGGGGTCGCTGCTATGGAGCCATTGACCTGTTGACCTTGCGACCCTTTGTTAGGCCATGGTGAAGAGTTAGAGACAGAGTTAAGTGACACAGTTGGACAGCCGTCAATCTTACCTAAACGTGCACAAAGTTAGTAATAAGATACTGAAATATCATTTCTAAAAACAACTAGAGTCCTATATGGCCTTTGTTCGCTCATCCGATAAATTTCTCTAGCAATTGGTCCTTTTATGATCCGCCGTGTCTTGATCAGAATAAAGTTCTGATATTCAAGGTCATGTGATGATCACTACGATGCTACACTTACAGATACCACTGTGTGTGGTGATAGTTTTTCTCCCCAGGACATAGACGTGTCATTCTTGTATTATTCAATGTCAAAATTCTGATGAAAAAAGAAATTTGTTCTGCAGGGAAAACTCCCATATTAATATTGAATTATCGATAGAATTGTGGCTTAAGTGTCCATGAAGTTTGGTGCACGAGTGTTTCCAATTCTCTGGCCCAACAGTAGTCATCAGAATGAAGCTTTTATGTGACACTGAGGACACTGCGATGTCTTCCAAAGGAAGAAGGTTATTCTATTTACTTTGTAAATCACCGTGGAGAAAATATCAGGCCATGATTTGATCTACATATATAAGATGAACATACAAATTTTGAAAAGATATTTCAATATAATAGGAGACTAAGTGACCATCCCTTTATTTTCACAAAATGAATTAACCCTTAACCTTTAATATTGATCAGTTGTTCCAACGATTTAAGAACCAAACCGGGCTTTCTTATCAATATTTCAAAGTTCCCAACAGTAAGCCCCCTACCAATCTTCCCTAGGGGATCACTTTTCAATATTTAGACGAAGCTCATTTGTTTGTAGAGCTTGGAGGAAATCTGCTAAATTAAATATGATAGATGTGCAGAGGACAGAGGATACGCCATTGCATTAATTGTGTAAGATAAGCAGAACATCCAATTCTATATCATATTACCACTCTTATTTTGTTATTTTCAATAATGTGTTACCAAATTACCTCCCTTTATTATAATTTTACCAGATTACCTCCCTTTACTTTATTTTTCACCAGATTACCTCTCTTCACTATATTTTTCACCAGATTACCTCTCTTTACTATATTTTTCAACAGATTACCTCTCTTTACTATATTTTTCACCAGATTACCCCTCTTTACTATATTTTTCAACAGATTACCACTCTTCACTATATTTTTCACCAGATTACCTCTCTTTACTATATTTTTCACCAGATTACATCTCTTTATTATATTTTTCACCAAATTACCTCTCTTTACTATATTTTCACCAGATTACCTCCCTTTACTATATTTTTCACCATATAAGCTCTCTTTACTATATTTTCACCAGATTACCTATCTTTACTTTAATTTTACCAGATTACCTCCATTTACAATATTTTCACATGATTACCTCTCTTTACTATATTTTTCACCAGATTACCTCTCTTTACTACATTTTTCACCAGATTACCTCTCTTTACTATATTTTTCACCAGATTACCTCTCTTTACTATATTTTTCACCAGATTACCTCCCTTTACTATATTTTTCACCAAATTACATCCTTTTACTATATTTTCACACGATTACCTCCCTTTACTATATTTTTCACCAGATTACCTCTCTTTATTATATTTTAACCAGATTACCTCCATTTACTATATTTTTCACCATATTAGCTCTCTTTACTTTATTTTCGCCAGATTTCTGCCCTTTACTTTATTTTCCATCATATGTAAACTGTGTTTAGATGAACCTCAGTTTGCAGTTTTAATAATAAAACTGTTGTTTGAATCAGGTAGAAGCTCGTTATTTTGTACAATAATCACCTTTTGCTGAGGTCTGTATAGGGTTTTATTTACTGAAGAAAAATTAGCATTAACTGAAAATAATGTCCAATAAGGTCAATGTCAACGTATACCTATATCATCAAGCAGAAAAATCCCTTATATTGACAAAAAGGAAAATGGAAATGTTTTTTCCAACAGGATTAATTTTTAAGGAAATACTGATTTTAAATATGTCAATTTCATTGTAGTCAAACTGAGAACCTATCCAGTAGTAAATCTGGTGTGTAGACTGCTGAAAAGGGAGGTAATTTGGTAGGCTCTAGAGATCCTCTCTTAAATGGAAAAACTTTGATAATAATTGGTTACGACATTTGTAACAAGAGGCCCAAGGGCCTTAGCGGTCACCTGAGTCATATCATAGGAACTGGTAGTTTTATTTTATTGTTTAGATGTGATGTGGAAATCAGCATGTAAACTAAGTGAAGTACAATACTTGTCATGTCATCAAAGGATAAGAATTTTAAAATATTTGTAAATGTTCCCTTTGGGGCCCCACTCTAACCCCTGGGGATGGGGCAGGAATTCCAAGTTTACAATGTGATACCGTCATCCACCAAAGATGATTCTGACCGAGTAAAAATAATTTCCAACAGAAAATTGTCAAAATATACCCAAAAGTGTTGTTTCCCTATATAAACTATAGTAAACTTTACCCCCTCCCCAAGGGAGAACGGATAGCTCGGGGGTCCTGAAATTTACAATTTAAATAAAGCCCCTGATGATCTTTCCATCCATGCAGAGAAAATGACTGTAATACCTCTGAGTCTGGAGAAGAAGATTTTTGAAATATTGGTTAATTTTCCCTTTTGGGCCCCGCCCTGGCCCCTAGGGTTGGGCTAGGAATCCCAATTTTACAATTTGGTAGCCTCATCTACCAAGGATGATTCTGACCAAGTTTGAGAAGAAGTTGATAATGTAAAAAGTTTACGGACGACGGACGACGACGGACGGAACGTGATTGGAATAGGTCACTTGAGCAAAGCTCAGGTGACCTAAATATATAACATTTAAAGAAATAAGGAATTGCAACATAACTAAAAGCCATAAAACACTAGAATTTTTTCAGAGAACAAACTAATAGCCCTACTAGAAAAACATATCAATGTGATTAAACTTCAAATACTACTGCAGCAATACCAAGGCGATAACACCAGAACATTTCACAACAAGAGGCCCAGAGGGCCTGAATCGCTCACCTGGATATCTAAGCAATCATGGCAAAATGTTCTCCAAATGAGATCCAAGGGAATATGCCAGACCCCAATGCCAATTCTTGTAGTATGTCTGTATTAGATTTTTCATGCCCAGCAATTTAATGTATGGTTAAGGGGTGGGGATCTCAACTGTTTCCAAGCTGTGGCCCCTTTTGGCACCACCTCTCAGCCCCCTGGGGGGTCAGCCCCACCATTTGTACAATTTTTAATCTCCACTACCGAGGGATACTTCCAGTCAAATATGGTTGATATCCATCTCTTAGTTCCAGAGAAGAAGTCCCTTAAATCAATAGAGCCCATTTGCACCCTTTTGGCCCCGCCCCTCAGGTCCCTGGGGGGCCAGACCCACGGTTTATACAAAATTGATTCCCTTCCATCAAGGATGCTTCAGACCAAATATGAAACAAATCCTTTCATTCCTACATAAGAAGAAGGATTTTAAAGAATTTACTATGTGTTCCCATTTGGGTCCTGCCCCTCAGGCCCCTCAGGGGCCTGACCCACGTTTTATACAAAATTGGTTCCCCTTCCCCTAAGGATGCTTCAGACCAAATATGGAACAAATCCTTTGAATCCTACAGAAGAAGAAATATTTTAAAGAATTTACTATGTGTTCCCTATTGGGCCCTGCCCCTCAGGCCCCTATGGGGCCAGACCCACGGTTTAGACAAAATTGGTTCCCATTTACCCAAGGATGCTTCAGACCAAATATGGAACAAATCCTTTCATTCCTACAGAAGAAGAAATATTTTAAAGAATTTGCTATATTTCCCCTATTGGACCCCGCCCCTCAGGCCCCTGGGGGGCCAGACCCATGGTTTGTATAAATTTGTTCCTCTTCCCCTAAGGATGCTTCAGACCAAATTTGGTCAAAATCTGCTTATACGTTTATGACTAGTAGCGATTTTTAGGGAAAGTTGAAGGACGCCGGACGCCGCGCCATGGCATAAGCTTACTAGCCCTTCGGGCAAGTGAGCTTAAAAGTTTACGCACGACAACGGACGGAAAACGATGAGGATAGGCCACTTGGTGAACTAAAAAATAGTCACATTCCTTAAATACATGTAACAGCCAATCACAACCAAATGCTCTCAGAGTTAGGGAGAATCAAACTCCCTGGCAGCTAAACAGATCCCAGAAAGTGACCTCAAACATCTGAAAATATCTAGACTACAGTAGCTACTTTCTAACATGTCCTTGTTAAAGCACAGATGATTGTCAGAAAACAGCTGCAAGATGTATGGGCACTTGCCACAGTTTAGTAAGGAACAGCTACCATAGGTCTAAGAACCCACTACAATATAAAACTACCGCCTAAGAAGCAAACAAATGTACCACTATTCCCTTTAAAACAACTAATATGCAGTATGCTTTGTCTAAACCAGACACTGTCTAATCAAAATTACTGTCTAAACCAGCCATAGAATTTGGTACCACGGATAATAATGTACAACAAGTCGTCTCTACTATCTGGAACTCTCTGCAAACCGGACAAATTTTGTGGTATGAGGGTTTGTTTGTATTTTATGTCCTATTAACAGCTATGGTCATTTAAGGACGTGCCAGGTTTTGATGGTAGAGGAAAGCCATGGTTCCCGAAGAAAACCACCGACCGACAGCCAGTGCTTGGCGACTGCCCCATGTAGGTCTCGAGCCCATGACCCAGTGGTGGAGGGCTGGTGGTAACAGAAGGTCAGATGCCTTAACCACTTGGCCACCACAGCCCAGTGGTGGAGGGCTGGTGGTAGCAGAAGGTCAGATGCCTTAACCTCTTGGCCACCGCGGCCCAGTGGTGGAGGGGTGGTGGTAGCAGAAGGTCAGATGCCTTAACCACTTGGCCACCGCGGACCAGTGGTGGAGGGCTGGTGGTAGCAGAAGGTCTGATGCCTTAACCACTTGGCCACCGCGGCCCAGTGGTGGAGGGCTGGTGGTAACAGAAGGTCAGATGCCTTAACCACTCGGCCACTGTGACCCAGTGGTGGAGGGCTGGTGGTAACAGAAGGTCAGATGCCTTAACCACTTGGCCACCGCGGCCCAGTGGTGGAGGGCTGGTGGTAGCAGAGTGTCAGATGCCTTGACCACTCGGCCACTGTGGCCCCTTGTGCGGTACGAGGGTAGTCTGGTTTAGACGGAGTACACTGCATAACTACGTCCTAATAACCACAAATATGAAATAATTTCCTTAGAAACAAATAATATATTAGTTGGAGATCTAAAAGCAGCAATCAAGGAGTTGCCTCCCTTTGTACCTTCAGCAGCATTCGGTTTATCACTCTTTCTACCAATTATTTGTCATAAATTTTCATTTTTTAAAATATATTTTTTGTTAAAATTCACTCAAAAAATTGTTGATTAAGGAATGTCTCAAGTAGAAATTATGGAGGTCGAGCCAAGCTATGAAAGAGACCCATTGTGGGATAAATACCTGTAAATTGCAAGCAACAGGAATTACCTACTTGTAATGGCAGATTTCAAACGTATTTTTTTTTTGAAAGGTGAAAAAACCCATGATGTAGTCCTAGCAATCCCAGAGCATGGAAACTAGCTTTGTACATGATGCAGTTTCAAAACTGTCAAAATTTCTTGGCTGAACTTTCGGTTGGAGGTTTTTAGCTAAGTGATGTTTGGAGTTTCCGATGGTGAAAGTTGGCAGGGGTAGGGATGGCAGGGGTGGAGAGAGGGGATGTTTTGTTTCGGGGTGGAAAATACGCGTTAAATGACCTTTAAATTTATATCTCTTGATACTTTCACATTTACATTACCATTTTTTTACCCGTTGATATTTTTATATTTTGTAAATCTTGATATCAACAGATCTGCTTTATTTACTGGTTTCTAAAAAAAACCTGTTTATTCAGCCAACCAACAAATTTTGTCTTGCTGTAAACCAAATTTCTTTCACGGTCATGAAGTTTTGCAGATTAAAATTAACAACTTATATTTCAAGGCTAATACAAACTGCAAAGTCAGATATTTTATTATAAGATGTTTTGGAGCCAAGAAATAGAAAACATTTAAGTAAATAACACGCAAAAGAGATTTGGTTTACTGTGTATCAAAAGTTAGATTCTCAATGGTTCTGAACTCAAGACTACTGGCACATCATTAACCTATCCAGTATACAATAGTCAAACAATTACTGCACTTCATCTCCTGCCAGATGGCAGTAAATTTGACTTTCTTAAACAGAATTTTCTAAATAAAAACAAGTAAAATGAAAGAACAGAAATATTAAATTTTGCACCAGATACCTGGTAATCGGGTTTTATGTAAATCAGGTATTGCTGTTATCATACACACATTTTATTTATGTTTCAATTTTGACAATTCAGAATCCCCCGGGAAATTTCATTTATGTTTCAATTTTGACCATGTAGAATCTCCCAGGGAAATTTCAGAAAGTAAGAAATATTATAAGAAATGTTGCGATCACATATACATCAGTGAGGACAAACCTATCCCACACATCCTCTGATGCTCAGAGTAAGGACCATTGAGAAGCTAGCCTCCGATACATCCAAAGCTAGCAGCAAGTTAAATTTACCCGTGACGTCTAGCGATGTTTCACTGTGGCGTCGCCCTAAAACGGCTGTCACACCGTTTACATCAGTGCCCTGTAAAGTAAAGACAATGTTTTAATTGATATGGGTAACACAATATTAACAATTACACTTCAATTGAAACTAGAAAATTTCAAAGACATGAATACCTGATGGCTTCATAAAATCAGTTGAATTTTTTGAAACTTTCTTTAAACTGTTACCATGACTTTGACCCTAGTGCCATGAATTATTAACTTGTTCAAGGTATTACCATACTTATACCATGACTTCGACCCTAGTGCCATGAATTATTAACTTGTTCAAGGTATTACCATACTTATACCATGACTTCGACCCTAGTGCCATGAATTATTAACTTGTTCAAGGTATTACCATACTTATACCATGACTTCGACCCTAGTGCCATGAATTATTAACTTGTTCAAGGTATTACCATACTTATACCATGACTTCGACCCTAGTGCCATGAATTATTAACTTGTTCAAGGTATTACCATACTTATACCATGACTTCGACCCTAGTGCCATGAATTATTAACTTGTTCAAGGTATTACCATACTTATACCATGACTTCGACCCTAGTGCCATGAATTATTAACTTGTTCAAGGTATTACCATACTTATACCATGACTTCGACCCTAGTGCCATGAATTATTAACTTGTTCAAGGTATTACCATACTTATACCATGACTTCGACCCTAGTGCCATGAATTATTAACTTGTTCAAGGTATTACCATACTTATACCATGACTTCGACCCTAGTGCCATGAATTATTAACTTGTTCAAGGTATTACCATACTTATACCATGACTTCGACCCTAGTGCCATGAATTATTAACTTGTTCAAGGTATTACCATACTTATACCATGACTTCGACCCTAGTGCCATGAATTATTAACTTGTTCAAGGTATTACCATACTTATACCATGACTTCGACCCTAGTGCCATGAATTATTAACTTGTTCAAGGTATTACCATACTTATACCATGACTTCGACCCTAGTGCCATGAATTATTAACTTGTTCAAGGTATTACCATACTTATACCATGACTTTGCCCCTAGTGCCATGAATTATTAACTTGTTCAAGGTATTACCATACTTAATCAATTTAGTTAAATATTCTTCTCTTCCTTTATATTCACTGTATAAGGTTTGAATAACATTTCTGAAGAAACGGGGTCATCAGATTGGTAACAAATCATTTTTATTTCATGTGATGGTGATCTATGCCTTGTTCATGGAAACATAATTTTTATTTCATGTGATGGTGATCTATGCCTTGTTCATGGAAACATAATTTTTATTTCATGTGATGGTGATCTATGCCTTGTTCATGGAAACATAATTTTTATTTCATGTGATGGTGATCTATGCCTTGTTCATGGAAACATAATTTTTATTTCATGTGATGGTGATCTATGCCTTGTTCATGGAAACATAATTTTTGATAAAGTTAAATTAAAATCTACTAAGGTTTACTTAAATAAACAAATAACAATTAATACGAAACAAAGTTAAAACAAAAACACACTAATGAACCAAATAATCACTTACATATTGTTTCTAAAAATTAAAAATGTTGACATTTTGATACCTTGAAATTATTTCTACTATAATGTTCTGCAAAATCACAACATCAAAGGTTGACAAAATTACTTAGTACAAAGTATACCTAAATTGTACAATAAATAGGTATTCTTTTAACAACTCAGGAGTCATATTGACTCAACAATTCAAAAATCTGTAAGAGTTATTCCCCTTACAACAATTCTTCTGCACCTGAGGCACATTTTTATCAGAACTTGTCAACAAACGCAAAACAATGAGCACTACTTGATCTGAGTACACACATCACAGCATTATTTTAAATGAAAGGTACCTTTATAAAACCAACCATTTTCAGAAAGAGTTCATTGTTTATAACTATAAAATGAAGACATTACCCTGGGTATCTGTGTCACCTACCTTAGCCTCCGTGTGGTTGGCTATGTGTATGTGACCTACCTTAGCCTCCGTGTGGTTGGCTATGTGTATGTGACCTACCTTAGCCTCTGTGTGGTTGGCTAGGTGTATGTGACCTACCTTAGCCTCTGTGTGGTTGGCTAGGTGTATGTGACCTACCTTAGCCTCTGTGTGGTTGGCTAGGTGTATGTGACCTACCTTAGCCTCTGTGT